TAGTGTACATAAAATTAACACTAGAGTACAAAACAGACTGCACGTCACATCAGCTAGACTATTATGCAAAAGGGAGTATATTACACATCCATAAAAATTTTTAATAATTTGCCACATAAATTATATATTTTAAAGGATAATGTTAATTTATTTAAACATAAACTGAAAGACTTTATCATCTTGAAAGCTTTCTATTCTATTGATGAATATATGGCAAATACCTAATTGTATTATATTCTTATTGTATCTAGGTTGTGTCTATTTGGACTTGGTTGCATACTGCAACTATTTTTAACTATTCTGATGAGCTCAATATCCGGCCCATTGCAGGCAATGGATCTGTGAAGCTATGTATTTATGCATGTATGTATGTGTCAGTAGCTTAATCTCCCTCTTTGTGGCCCTCTGCCTGGCTGCTTCAGTCATCAACCTGTTTGTTCGCTTACAGCATCAATGTAAATTCTTGTGAGACATCTCACAATACCATCTACTATTCATTGGTAGTGAAGTGAACAACCAATACACCCAATCCACTCGAAGTCAATGGTGCTCTTAATGGCAGCTGTGATATGCTGCTCCACTGAATTGAGGTGGGCCACCTTTGCCATAATACACTCCACTAGAGTTACAGCAGTACCAACAGTCTCCACAAGCTTCTCAGAAGGATATGTGAGAGACTGTTCTGTATCACTGCACTCCTTGAAATATATGAAGACACTGGCTGATAGCAGCACTTCAGGTGTCAGGCATGTCTTGCATGCATCACAGCTGACACATCGAGGAACCTGTCTGACAATAGAACCACTGATGTAAGCTACTGAGAACACTTCCATTTCAACAGCAGGTACTGCAAGACTCATGTCCATCTGTACTTGCTGAGCAACATGGAAACTCTCAGGCACACCAGCAGGGGTTTCCTTGTCATGACTTGTGGAAAGATTTCGTGAAGCAGCATCAGGTTCCCTGAGGAGCGATTGTAGGTTATCTAAAAGAGTAGCATCATCATTGCTATCAATGCAATATGGCGGATAGTATGATGAATTGTACTAACAGTGCTGCTGTTTTAGTCGACAATAGTGGGGTACCAAGTGATATTTTGTGTATTTGTTGTGCGGAATTGGAGTTGGAGTTTGAAAGGACTAGAATCGAGCTGAGAGCAACGCAAAACATAAGTGATAAACTAGAAACAAACTGTTAAAATTGCACTAATTTGAACAAGGAACTACAAAAAGCAAAGGAGGCACTACAATCTTATAAAGAAATTATAAAAGTGCTTCAAGCCGAGTTAGGTGATAACGTGAGACTAAATAAACTGAGTGAACTGGAACGAAACAATTATTGTGATCAAGCTGAAACCTTATTAATGGAAGAAGACTGGGAATTAGTAATAGACAAAAAGAAAAAAAAATTTGGATGTATTAAATAGAAATTTAATATAAATTATACCCACAAAAGTGAATAAACCTGATTCAAAACATAACCTCAAAGATGATGAAAAACGAACCAATATGAGAACGAAGGAACTCGGAGCAAAAAATAGAATGAATCATACCTTGACAAAAGAGAAACTTAAATATGAAGAAAGTCAAAGAACACACAAACTTAAAATACGGATAATTGGCGATAGCCATGTGAAAAAAAGTGCAGCCGAACTTCGCATGATTTTGGATCATAACATAATATTATGGGAATTACCAAACCAGGTGCCTTGACGAATGATATTTTGACAACGGCTACAGATGAAGTTGCTTCACTAAGTAATAAGGATATCCTGATCTTGTGGGCTGGGGCAAATGGTATTAGTAAAAATAATACAAATGAAGCACTTAAGTACTTAACGAAGTTTATGGAAGAGCATAAAAGGACTAATATCATTCTAATCCACTCACTACATAGATATGATCTTACAACTATCTCCTGTGTAGCCTAAATAAAGAGGTAGTGAAATTCAATAGGCAAGTATAGAAAATAAGCAAACTGAATCCAAACGTGAAACTAATGGAAATGCATCTACAAAGACAACACTTTACGAGGCATGGACAACATCTAAATCAATGGGGCAAAGAGTTAGTTGCCCCAGAGCTGGCAAAGATAATCAATCAACTCTTAACTAAGTCAAAAACAAATCCTATCCAAATGCAATGGAAAGAGGATATTTTGCCTGAAGAAAATTCAACTGCACAAAATGAAACTGAAGGAGTGGTGTTATCGAATAATTGTAAAAAGACTGTAAAATTAAATAAGTGTCAAGGTGAAAAAATAGAGGCTAATACCAAAAGATCTATGAGAGCTAGAAAAAAACCAGCAACAAAAGCAAATGATTTTTATGGTAAAACCACTTAATAAGTGTAAAACAAAAACCACAAAAAATAACATTGTAAAAATATTTCACCAAAACATATGTGGTTTAAGAAATAAGTACAATGAAATATTATGTCATTTACAAGAGTATACACCACAAGTAATCTGTTTCACTGAACATCATCTTGGTAGAGATGAAATAGTTCATACTAAATTGACCAATTATACTCTAGGTGCATATTATAGTAGGAACAATTTTAATAATGGTGGTACGTATATATATGTGCATGATAGTTTAACAACTCATACTATTAATCTTGATAAATTTTGTTGTGATAAGGATATTGAAGCCTGTGCTGTCACTTTAAATACTATAAGTTTTAAAATAATTATTTTAACTATATATAGATCCCCTTCCAGTGATTATAAAATATTTTTGAGTAAACTTGAATTAATTCTACAAAATTTGTATAAAAAATGTTATTATTATTGTTTGTGGGGATTTTAATGTGAATTATATAGAAAACTCTCATAAGAAAACTAGACTTGAAGATATTTTTAGCTCCTTCAATCTTAGAAGTATTATTACCTTTCCTACTAGAATAGGACCAAATTCGTCCACAATTATTGATAATATATTTATTGACGAACAACATATTACTGACTATGAAGTTCTCTCTATCTCTAATGGATTATCGGATCATGAAGCACAATTACTAATTGCACAATTTCCATTACCTTGTATCAAAAAGAATGAAATTATAGTTAAAAGAAATATAGATGATTACAATTTGGCAGAATTTACAATGAAACTAAGTTATGAAAAATGGGAACTAGTTTATAACAATAATGACATTAATACTAGCTTTAATCATTTTCTAAATATTTTGTTAAGACATTTTTATGAGTCGTTCCCAATAACAAGTAGACAAAAATACAAACAGAAACCATGGATTAGCACTGGTATAAGAATATCTTGTAGAAACAAAAGAACAATATATCTTGAAGCAAAAAAAATAATAACCCTATAATAGCCACCTATTGTAGAACTATTGTAAAATATTAAACAGAGTGATAAATCTAGCTATGAAGATGACATATGATAATCAAATTAAATATTCAAAAAATAAAGCTAGAACCACTTGGAGAATAATAAATAGTGAAGTGTTAAAGAAAGGAAATAGAGACATTATTCAAACCTTGGACATTGAAGGTAAAAAGAATACTAACTTGAATGATATTGTTGAAACATTTAATAGGTATTTTAGTGGTATAGCGGGTAATATACATAAATATATAAAAGGAAATGGTAAAAATACCAACTCTAAAACTACTAATTATATGACATACTTGACTGAGCATTTGAGAGTCCACTACCTAGCATAAAAAACTATAAAAACTACGAGTAGGGAAATAGAAAGGATTATATGGTCCCTAAAATCTAGTCCAACCCATGGATATCATGAAATTTCAAATAATATACTCAAAGCCTGTAAAATCTTTATTAGCGAACCGATAAGTTACTTATGTAACAGAGCTTTGCATGAGGGTATTTTCCCAGACAGATTAAAATATGGTACAATTATGCCAATATACAAAAAAGGTGATAAAAA